GCAGCCTCAAGACGCGCGCCGAGGTGGAGCTGGAAAACGCCCAGCTGAGACGGCGGCTGCAGGAGACGTCCGAGTGCCGCAACCAGTTCCGCGCCAGCCCCGCGCCGGCGCACGTCCGCCCGCCGCTTGACGAGGAGCCGCGGCGGGAGCGACGCGGGGACACGCGCCAAGACCGCCACCTCAACACGAAGGTTCACTTTAGTTGGACTAAGTATACATCCGGAGCGTATTTTTCAACGGTGGCGATTTTGGGAGGGCGGCGGCTTTCTCTGACTGTACACCAGGTGGCAGTGTTGCTACAAAAATAGCGTCGAGGCCAATTGGCACCACTGCCACCTACTGGTCGCTTTTTGACATGATTTACAATGCAAACGGCTTCTTCTCGCTCACAGATTGCATCATCTCGGGCGCAAAAGGAAAAAAAAAAAAAAAAAAAGACTTAGACGTACAAGTACGTCCTTGGTAGGCGGGGCCTCATTTTAAAAATACGCAAAAGGACGTCTTGCGGAATGAAAGAGTTAAAAAAACAAAAAAAAAAACAAATGTGGCGTCTTCCTCCCAAGCCTTTCAGCTTCCTGGAGAGGGAGCGCCTGAAGAAGGAGCAGCGCCGCCAGCCGCCGACGCCGGGCGAGCCGGAGCAGGTGAAGCCCTTCAAGGCCAAGCCGGTGCCCGGGTGGGCGTACGCGTCGGCGGCTGGCGAGCTGAGGAAAGAGCAGCGGCCGTACCGCCCCATCAAGAAGCAGACGAGAGCCCGGGAGATGCCCCGCAGCGCCTCGGCCCCTCCCGGCGCGCTCAGCAAACGACCGGCGGAGAGCAAGAAGCGCAACCGGCGGCCCCCCGGCTTCAGCCGCCGCCGCCGCCCGAGCGTCAACGGGGGCGTGCCCGACTTTGAGGCCGCTTTCAAGCGCTTCCGCGAGCACCTGGAGGAGAGCGCCGAGCTGAAGCCCGCCACCACGTGCCGGCCCTTCCGGCTCAGCGCGGGCCCCCGCATTCCCGCGGGGGCCCGCGGCCCCTTTACAGAATTTATTTTGCCATTTCCTTGAGCGATCAGATGTCAGTAAAATGTAGGAGACTGGACTGTCTCAGAAGTGTTTTATTATTTATTCCTTTGTTGTGTACTGTATTCACAAACGAGGAAATCCCAAAATAAATTTTGCAGGGGGGGTATAGAATTTATTTTGTGATTTCCTCGCTTGATTTTCTGTTTCGATGCATTATTTTCATGAAGTCATCGTGAATTGACGTTTTTCCGAGGCGATCGTGAACGCCTCTCGAGCCGAACGGAAGGAGCGTCGCACCATCTAGTGGTTGCATTGTAGATTGCATTTTAGAATCTCGTGCATTCCAATCGATGACATTTTTTTTTTTTTTTTTAAACAGCCCATTTATTGAAGGCGCGTCTCATAATCAGGGGGGGGGGCTATAGAATTTATTTTGTGATTTCCTTGCTTGATTTTGTTTGTATTGATGCGTTCAATTTTCGCCGTTTCATTGAAGTCATCGTGAATTGACGTCTTTTCCGAGGCGATCGTGAACGCCTCTCGAGCCGAACGGAAGGAGCGTCGCTCCATCTAGCGGTTGCATTGTAGATTGCATTTTAGAATCTCGTGCGTCCAATATGAATTTTTTTTTTTTTTTAAACATAGCCCATTCACCGAAGGTGCGTCTCATAATCCAGTGCGCCTTCAGTGCGTAAAATACGGCAGTAGTATTGGAGTCACAATCTTGAGGCGTATTGAAGTTGTGTGGCGAATAAGATTCGAGAAGAAAACTTCATTCGTCTCACAATGGAGAAATTTCCAATTCGCAGCGGCAAAAATCCTGATTGAAATGCGCTAGAAATTTTTTGACTGATCAAATAAATGTCATTCTTATTAAGCCCCCTGTATATTTACCCCCCCCCCGAAGTTTGGATTTTTTTTTTTTCTTTTTAATCTTTTTTTTTTACTCCGTGTGCTTCTTGTTGCCTTGCTCAGGAAGCAAGAGCGCCAGCGCAGGAGGGAATATCAGCAGGAGATCAAAGAGATGGAGGAGCGCGTGAAAGGCAGGCCGCTGCTGCTGGAGCAGGTTGCCCAGGTGAGTTCCCTGAGGAACGCCCCCCCCCGATCGCTCAATGCTGAGACTCACTGCCCCCAAGGTGGTCAACGTGCACACATGCAAAGGAAGGAGAGAAGAGAAAAGAAACGCGACAAAAATGATGAGATTGTTTTCAGCCACATTAAGACTTCGCTGTCTTCAACTTAACTCCTTCACTCCCAAAGACGGTTTTGAACGTCTTTTCAGACTCGCTTCAGAATTGGCTGCTACCGAATGAGTGAAGTATAATACTTTCTCCCAAAACGCTCTTGCATTCGTTACGGGGGGAGAAAGATGATCGGAGACACGAATGGTCGCCGCCGCGGGAGGGATGAAAGTCGCGCGTCTCGAGGCGCCGCCGTCCCAGGACGCTCGCCATTCATTCCGGCGATGTTCTCTCGTGACAGAAGAACGCCAAGCAGGCGGCGCAGAAGCGTTTTGCCGACACGTTGCGCCGAGCCCACCTGAGCGAGGACTTCCTGCGCGGGAAGGCGCCGCGCACCCCCGCCGACGATGCCACACGGTAATTTTAAAAGGCTCCGGTGTCGGGGCAAACGTTGACCGCCCCAGCCCCACCGACGCGTCGTCGCACTGTCAAAATTCCGCTTTGTAAAGGCACCGCAGTGACTCGGGGTGCCCGTAGATGGCGGCGCAGCATCGCTTTGGAAGACCGGACGTCTCGTCGCGCTTGTCTCGTTTCGGCCAGCGAGTCTTCCGAGGCGGAGGATGCCGCCCCGTCGCCCGCCCGCTATCTCCTGGACGACCGAGAGGGACGCGGCGAGGCTTCACATGACACCGGCGAGGACGCCGCTCGCCACTCAGCAGAGGAGGCCGAGCGCGGGAAGCGGCAGGACGACGACGAGGGACTTGCTTAAACCTCACCCGGCTGATGGAAATTTCAAGTTGCCCTTAATTTCATGCATTTTGAAGGAACAATCGCAATCTTGGGATATGTGGCACTTTCTTTCAAAATGAATTAAAAAAAGCGTTCCAAAGCCCTTTGCGTTATTTCGCAATCAAACTCCCTCCACCGTGTGGCGTGATTTTTTTTTTTGGATTTGACTTGATTCGTTAAGAGTCATCACCCGGCTCGGTTCCTGACAGACTTTGATTTCACCAAGCCAACCCGATTCCGCCGTCACTTATTTTTAGTCACCGAGACTAACAGGCTACACTGAGGTGGACGACATCATGAATTTTGACACTTGATTCATGACATTTCTCATAAAACATGCATTATTAATCCACCATTGTAACCGCAAGACGCGGAATACTACGGTCAACAATTTCCAACTTCCAATCAAATGAGAAGAATGTCTTGATAATAATAAAAGAAGAATAAGGCAAAAAAGCGAATACATGAGTAGATATGATTACAATAAAAATGAATACATGAAATAAGCACCTGTCTTTTCGTCATTGAGGGTGGCAAGATTGATCCGAGTCATGGGCGCCCCCCCCCGTGATTCAACTCATTTTTCTCTTTTTATTTGGACATTATCCGGCCAACAATTTTGGGTTCGAGACGTTTAGTACATACGATTGGCTCGTTTCTTCTGACACGCAACAGCAGCATATATAGTCGAGGTTTTTTTTGATCTTTGGCGCTTTTAACTCGCAATCTTTCCTCCGGATATATCAAGTGGCCTATTTATTTATTTTTTTTATTTTGATGAATTTCCTGAAGATTTTTGCTTTCTTCGAAGTAATGTGTGGGGACCCGTCAGACCCCATCAAAGATTCAATGACCCAGTGTGTGTGGCAATACATGAATTGACACACACGCACGAAAAAAAAATCATCTCAGACCCCCCCCCAAAAAAAAAAAATACGACTGGGTTTACTATGGCACGTAAGGAGAGAGAGAGAGAGAGAGAGAGAGAGAGAGAGAGAGAGAGAGAGAGAGAGAGACCGCACGCGCGTGTGCGTGTGGGGGGGTCGGGAGGGGACAGGGGTCACGACAGAATCTCGCGACATCTCCGGGAAAAGCCGAACGCGTTGCCCGCGAGTTCACCGGAAAGCGCCGAAAAGCCGAAGAGCGGCGCAGGCTGCGTCAAACAATAGCCCCGCCCCTAACTCCCTCCCTCCCGCCC